AAAAAGAAATTACTTTTTATTCATCTCTAAGAAATCTTGTCTTATATGTGCAATTGTCTATTTTATTTTACACTCAATAAATAAACTGAAATAATTTGTTTCATGTACATACCATCTGTGTTCTTTTATATAAAACATTCCATATTTATTTATTTTTTCTTATCTTTTATTCTATTCACTAATCTAATATACCTGTTGAAATCTAATCGAGAATAACAAAAAAACAAATTTAAAAAATAAGAATAGAGAAAGGTTTCACATATAATAAAAAAGTCATAAACGATAAGTCGAAAGTTCTAATTCATTAAATCCGAGACTTCTCTTATTGACACAATCTATATTTCATTACACATTCACTTTTGTAGATGAAGATTAGCTACAAATATCATTTCATATACTCTTTTACATAGATATTATATATGAATAAAGACAAGAAGTAATGAAAGGATATGAATCTAGTATTTGAAACATCGATACTCAAGAGATTTCCTAGAATAAACTTAAGAATTCTTTTCAAAAGATTCAATATTAATTCATAGAAATTATTTTATAAAATATTATAAATAAAAATAGATGTATCTTATTTTTTATCCTATGACAATTAAAAGATTAACGTCACTACAATCATATATAATATATCCATAGAATAATTATATTTTTGTAAATCAGCATAGCCTAAGAACCCATATTGTTTTAGTTCTATTAACAGGATATTAATGAATTTGTAAATTTGTAGTTTTTCAAGTATTAGCTCTTGATTTTTTTATGGATTTCGACAACGTTCAACGTTAGTTCTAAAATGTTTTCAACTGAATCAACTTAAATAAATTTTACGTTGCCGTTCTAATGTTATTGTTACGGGATGATAATCTTTAGACAATCTTTATTTTATATCAATTGCTTGAGCCCCTTCACTATTTGTTCCTAATACATCAGATTTACTAAGAAAATTTTTGTAAGTTGACCTTTGTGCAAGTAGAATATATTCGATTTATTAATATACAATAATCTTGCAGGCAGATTAAATATTGTTAAATTCCTATTTCTATTAATGATATTTGGTGAAGTTTTATTTCGTTGTAAATTAAGAGAAGAATCTTGTACAAAAAATTCAGGTTCATTTGAAATCTCTGAATTAATCATAATATTTCTACCCTCATCAGTAAATAAATCTTAGTTAAATTATTACACAAAATGAATGTGCACAAAAATAATCGACTATTGATTCAAGAATTTTCAATGTCAAATGTATTTTTCATAAAAAGTTATTTTAATCAAAATATATCAGGAAAACAAAAAAAGAAACAAATTATTTATCATATCATACCTTATTTTAAACTTGACGATTGTATATTATTTAAGAGAATATTTTATTTGAAACAATAAGTAAGATTTTGTATGACTGATCTCGTTAATTATACAAATTACTTTATTACTGTAAGTATTTGACTCATGTGAATAAATAGAAAATAAACGATTCAGATCAATCGAGAGATAACGTCAAAAAGAATAATATTATTATTCTATTCATATCAATATCATTTTATTATTCGTTCTTATCATCATCATCCGATTCACTTGATAATTAAATTTGACAAGATCAATAGATAAACATAACTTTTATTTCTTCTAATACAATAATATACTACGGAAAAAAAACGTAGGATGTTTATTGTTATTCTTAATCCCAGTTGTTGATTATAAATCATAAGTCGCACAAACTATAGATTTTATACTATAAAAATATGATTTTATTGAATAAGAATAATATTACTTTAAAAAATAAAATAATCAATTATTGAGCTTGAAAAATAGCCATATGTGAAAATTAATGTGTATATATATTATTGAATATTAAAAAAAATAAGACTTCTCATTTGTATTATTACTTTGAAGATGTTCATATACTTACAAAAGTGTGACGAAAAATTAGCACTATTCTCAACATTGATGTTTTATCCATATGTATGATTAATTTCTATACTATTGATAATAATAAAAAATAGAAATATGTTTACAATCGATTATACGTATCAATGCATTTTTCATTCGCTTTAGTATATCAATTGTCACGTCTCATATAAGATAAACAAGTATTATTCACCATAAAAATCGTCTTGAAACTTATTACTAAGTATCATTTAACTGTTTTTTTCTAACACAATAGTAACAAAACTCTAAATATAATTTAGTCTTGATATATGTTTCCTATAATAATTCTTATGTATGAGAAGAAATACAAATATTATTGTATATCGATTTAATTAATATTAGAATACTATTTCTATTCATTTTTTTCATGAGATAATATAAGTCTCTATTAATGAGAAAGAACATTTATGTCCGCTTGATGTTTAGTTATATTCTGTTGAGCTTTTTGTCTTCGTATCAATGCAGGAATTGCAAATAGAATACAACCACTTAATACAACAAAAACACCAAAAATAAAATAAGACCAAAGAAATGGATTATTATGTGATTCAAATACATTACAGATTGCACCTAAACAACAAAACATAAGTTGTACAAATCAATTTTTATTAAGAAAAACAATAAATCTCTACTTACCAACCACCGGAGTTCCAATAGCAGTTGCAATACCTTGAAAAAGTAGAATAATACCCATTCCATTTCATAGTTTATTTAGACCAACAAGATCAACAGTAATTATTGAAGTTAAACCAATATAACCACCGGAAAAGAAACCAAAAAATGAAGCATAACTTATATGAGAAAGAATATGAGAACCACTAAATGAAGCAACTAGTGTAGATATACCAGCCATAGTTAATGTTGCATTGCATAATATCAGACGACTCATTTGAAAAAGAAAAAATCAAAAGAAAGTTTTTCATCATTATCATCATCATGAATTCATACCCATTTTTGATCTGCTAAATAACCAATAATAATATGACCAAAACAAGTAGAAAAACCAACAGCCAAAAGAACGAATTTTCTGTGACTTTCTATTACAAGTGTATCTTTTGCAAGATCATGTGCAAAATTATATGGAACAAAAAAGCTAAGACTTGATAAAAAATTCGAACGTGTAAATAGAGCAAATGCATTATTTTTCAACGATTCTAAATTGATTTGCGCTAAAAGTTGTCCAATAATAGATTCATCATGGTTTTCATTTTGATTTATATATGTTTCCAAATACAATTCATTATCCATTATATTAGATTGAACTGTTTTATTAACACGATGATGATCATCATCATCAGCAGCACCACCAAAAAGAGCATTAGAGGGTGTGGGTCTGGATACAACAGCAATATATATTACGCACACCCACACCCACACCCACCCACTATAGATATGATATCTTTCTTGTTAAATCTTCTAGGTTTTGATATGTTATTTTAATATTTAGTAACTGAATAGCTACTATAATTTAAAAAAGAAAAGCAAAACTGATTCATTGACTCTTTTATATAAAATAATCGCGACGTCATAGAAATCTCATATACAAACTCAATATTTATCGTCATTTTTTTAAATTTTAAATTGGTAGAAGTCTTAGGATTCAATCATGCATTCTATTAATAATAAGAACAACCATTAAAAGATACTAAATCCAAATAGTATTAAACGTCTATGTATATTTTGTCAGTCATTATTTCATAGAAATGAATTATTTCCAATTGAACAACAGTCTAAACTATTCTTTCCTACTAGAGTGTTCTTCTAGTAGAACATAAATGATACAAGATCGACTAAATTTGAGATTTAGTTTTTCATTTATAATGATTCTTGCACAATAACTTTTTAATTTGAGATTCAACAGCTCTGATCTTGTACTGTTAACTGTGACAACGAGTGGCAGAATAAATTATTTATTAAGAACATATTAAACTATCGTTTACGAACGATTTAGTACTTTTCAAAAGTTATTATCAAATCATTAGATCCTGTTTAAGAAGTTGTCTATATACACATATAGATATGTATATTTATTATTTGATCATCATGCAGTTTATTACAGGACTATAGAATATGATCTTTGGAACTACTCCTCTCAAGCTATTTTTGTTTAAAAAATTTTGTTATTCAAAAATCAATGTCAAATATATGTGAATAAAAATCGAAAATAAAATGATACAAATTTCATTTGTATGTTATAAAGTATTCATCGTGTGCACCAGCATGATATTAAACGAAAAAAATATGTTGACCATCTGTTGTTGTATCAACTCCTACTAGTAGTACTATCATCGATGATGAACCAGCACATGCTGTATCAATCAAAACACAAGCTAAGAACATTGTTCGTTCACGTCAGCCGTCTAATCTACTATAGTTAGAGCTGTAACGCGCATGTTCATGGGAATATACTCCGTAACCATATACAACTCCTAAAAAAATATAATTATATTATGAGTATTTTGATACGCAAAAACATCTTCTTACCATTGAGACTAGCAAACGCTCGATTGAAACATTCTTGTACAATTTTATTCGTAGATATAGGACTACATTTAATAATGTTTATCAATCTTGTTGATTGGTTCTATTATTAGAATAATATATCTGAAAAATGAATTTGAAAATCTAGTTATGATAATATTTGATTCATTTATTAATTATGTTCAATTTATACGAAATGAGCGAAAAGATGCACATTGTATCATCAGATAAATGAAAAAGAAAAGAATATCTTATTAACAGAGTTAATACAAGTTTCAATGAATAAAAATTAGTAAATTTGTAAAAAATATTCTCGTTCTTATTCTTATGTCAATGATTAGTTTTCTTTTTTGTTGTAACTTATCGACAAATAAAATTATGTTCCAATTTTATTATATGTACCACCGTAGTAGGCAATAGAAATATATTAGATAAATATTGAATCAATCGCATAATCGAAAAAATTCTCATAAAGACAAAAAAAATTGTTTCTTCTATTATATCTATACTAATTAAATTTGAATTAAAAAGATATGTATTCTAAACATTCTTTTTCTTCAGATCAAGCACAATAAATTGATCATAATAAAAAAATGAACGTGTATTTAATTAATATCAACGAATCTTAATAAATAGATTTTTATCTAACTTTTTTTTAAACATTAAAGTCTTATAGACTGTATACTCTAATAATTCTATAATATAATAGAAATTTCTTTAAAAAGAAACAAAAAATGTTATATAGTGAGAAGATATTTATTGAGTTTTAAACAAAATTACAAAGAACAAAACAGAAGGGAGAAACAGAAAAAAGAGAGGAATTTATTTACAAAATTTACAGTTCCTTACCTACATGGCATGTTGGTCGGTTAGCATGCCGACCAACATGCCAAGTGTTGGTACCGGCCATTGCAGCTGGTACGGGCCAGGAACTAACTTGATATAAATAAAATATGGATATTTTACAAAAAAATTTAAATTAAAAAAAAATAAGCTTACCCGTGGCCGGTGTTGCTGGTGTTATTTGTACACCGGCTCACCTCCTATGTACCCGACCAGGTGCATGGCCGTTGGCCTATCGATCCCGAGCATCAGCCCGACCTTGATGGGCTTGACGGGAATAAATTCGTCCGTCATGGTCGAGGCATCCCGGGCCGAGTAACACGGCCACATAGTTCCTATTTAATTAAAATAAAAAAGTATTATTTCAAACATATTATAATAACATCACTTACCTGGTATCCCCCGTACCATCGGTCGTTTGTGGCCGGTACATGCCGCCGCCGAGGCTGCACATGCCATCGCATCGCCATAGAAGACATGGCCCCATACAGTGGGGTCGGCGACAGCACTCAAACTGGGTTGTACAGCGGTTTCGTTGTCATCGTTTTGATACATTGAAGAATTCATAATATAAGTGATAAATCTAAAAAGAAATAGGGGATGAAACATTTTAATCACGCGCTGTAAAATAATTCTTATTTTGTGTGAATGAGAAGCAAATTTCTTTATGCATCCGTTCTATTTCGTATATACACCCGCCGCCATAAGTGGACCCGACGAAAAAAATCGATAAGACAAAGGAGTTATTTTTTAATATTTTACTTATAGAAACTACATTGTGTGTACATCATCTCAATAATTAATATAGTCGCCTTCTCTCTCAATTAATAACGTTATTCTACTTTCCATAGAAAGTACCAATTTTTTAGCAAATGTATTAGCTAAGTTTTCCCATTCTTACTTCTATTCTTTCAAAAAAATTATTGATCGATATATACAATTCTTTGTTTATTTTGAGCTCCATTCATGCCCAAACATTTTCACTTGAGTCACAGTCTCTGACTTCTATATCCTGCTGGAGTTTTTTCTAAAATACAGTCACTTGTTACGAACGATTTCGAAGTTGGTGTCACTGAAAATGTATATCATCCTCTTTAAACCTTCTTCGTAATGTAGTTTTACTCATTTTTGCATATTCTCGTAACAGTCTAAGCGCAATTTGACCAACAGATTCGATATAATACTGAGCTACTATCGATTGAATCGTTGCATATTATTTTTCCGGTATAGACCGGATTTTTGTAGAAATTCTACGCCACCAGTTTCTCCATATCTTTTAAGTCAAAATCACACAGTTGATTCATGAGTTCTTACATATTTTGCTATACCAACATTTGACATATGTGGACCGAATTTATGTGTTGATAAGAAAACGATTTCCCATCTTTTCCACATAGAAATGTCCATTCTTTCACTATTTTATTAATCGATACCTGGTCGTATATAAACACTCCTATTTATATGAGATGATGTACATGACTAGTCCGTTCTAACAATAAGAAAAGATAAAGGAAAGGTCATTGTTAAGTACGAAAAAAACGTCGGGTCTACTTATGGCGTTTAGTGTATATACCCAAGAAAAGTCTCCCGTGGAGCTCATGTCAAGTTCATATGCTAGATATACATAATGTGAAGGCATTCATCAGACCATATATGATTAGTTCATATCTTCGACGATAGAAATGGTTAATCATTGATCATCAATCATAATCGAACAAATTCATTGATGGAATATCGAATAGCAACAAACTGTTTACAACTCAATTGACACCTTTCAATCCCAATTAATCAGAAGAGAACAGTTGTATACAAGCAGAGTATACATAATGGCTTGTTCTTTTTCTCAAACTTGGTTTTCATTTTCGTTGGCACTTATGAATGAGTTCTTCTAAATAAGAATACGTGAAGCATTCTATTTAATTGTGATAAACATTATTAATTTTTTCTAATTTACGAATAAAAAGAGTACAACAAAAAAAGACAGAAACTAAAAATTAAAAAGGATGCATGCGAGAATAAAATATGACAGAAGACGTTTCAGTATATAATTCAACATCTAGTTTGTGACGAGTCAATTTTTTGTTTGAACATGATCCAATGGTTGAAGAGTTTCAATGTTGACGATGCTAATTTGATTTTTAACATCATTCTCATGACCATCGTCAAGCTCTTCATTATCATAATTGATTAATTGACTTGGATGTATTTCATAATTTTTATTCCGTGCGTCTATGAGATTCGCTTCTAATCGACTATCTACTTCCTTTTTCTAAAATAAAAATGCTTGTTGAATATATTATTAGGCAATACAATTTTCACTTGTCGTTGAACTGATAATTCAGTTAATTGATCATTTTCTTTCGGTATTGGAATAGCAACGCCTAGTATAAATTTTATCACATTTATATGTTAATTGAATTTTTTATTGCCACCTATATTACTCGGTTGACCAAAATTATCAGCAAATATTGAGTTAATATTGTATGACGCGCAGCCTTCTAGAAACAAAATGGTATTAATTTGATTTATAAGGAGAGAGAACCGAACCGTTTGATTCTATTTCTGGAATATCTGAGAACGGATATCCAGCACGAAACACTTCATCGTCATTCCAATCTAAATCTAATGCCGTATGAGCGAATTCAACTGGTAATAGATTAATATAATCTGGATTGGAATTCCCATTAAAATTTGCCATTGAAGACGTGTTGAACGTTTTGTATATACGATATTAATTATTTAAAAGATGCTAAAAAGACAATGTTCAAAGAGTATTATTAATAAGTACATGCACACATATATTTATATATCAGTTTATTTATTGAGATATATTTCAATCCAGAGGTGATCACAGGGCAGGGTTACCCTGCCCTGCCCTGCACCCTGCCCTGCCCTGTAGCAGGAACAGGGTGGCATTAGCGATTTTTGTCCTGTCCTGTGAAGTAGCAGGGCAGGGCAGGGCAGGGCACAGGGTAAAGATTTTCACCCTGCAAATCTACGCATTAATTATGTAAGAAAAAGTCATTTTTTTAGGTTTTTTTTATAGAATTTAGTATATTGCATGACAGAGGACGTTAACCCATGTAGAAAAAGTTGTGAAAATCAGATTTAATCTGAGGATTACGACGAGAAAATCGTGGCATTTATATCGAGTTCACATCGGATTTCTGATATTAAATCTGATTTTTACAACTTTTTTTACATGGATGTCAAACAACGAAAGGAACTGTTCATCCTCCACAGATGAGTTTTGAATAAAGTATAACGAAAAATGAGATAAAAGCAAAAAAAGTAAAAGAGATAAAAATATTCATTGCTCATTTTGTGGTTTCATTCATCTATCATTTTCTTTTGTCAAATAGTGTACTGAACTAAAGTTAAAAGTGTTTTTTATTAAAATATCTGTTATTTTTCTATTACATCAGTTGTTGAAATATGCTATTGTAACTTAGTTTGAATGAAATAACTTCTCACAACATTATCTAAACCCGTGATTGCTTTGGAAATTTATTTCTTAAAAAAAACTGATATTATGTCAAATTTGCAGGGTACCCTGCCCTGCCCTGCTGAACAGGGAGGGTAGGGCAGCGTATGTTTTTTTTTATTCTTCATTTTTCCTACCAGGGCAGGGCAGGGCAGGGCAGGGCAGGGCAGGGCAGGGCACAGGGCAGGGCAGGGTATGAAAATGTTACCCTGTGATCACCTCTGTTTCAATCAATAAAAGTTTATCAACTATCGTATTTATGTGTAATTATGGCAAGCGATAGCCATTTATAATTTCACACTTCACGTGCAGAAAACATTTATCACTTATATTTGATTAGCACTATCCATAAAAGTACTGATATGATTTATTTAGAATATTGAAAAAAAATGTATTGAAAATATTTTTTTATGAATGAATTTATGTGTGTAACATTATTATATATTAATTTATAGTATTATTTTAGCATTGTTTATCATAAGATTGAAAATATTTTTTAAACAATATGTCTTTTGTTGACACATTTCAATGAAAAGTTTATTTCTCTACATACGATATACATACGCAAATAGCAAATATATCAATTAACACTTTTATGTGATATTTCTTTTTTTTCCCTTTTTTTTCTTTTCGTAATATAATAGCATGAGAAGAGAAGCAAACGAATTCACTGATTAAATCGTTGTATAGTTTTTCGTTGTCAGAAAAAAAGAAAAAGAAGAAAACGCTACGAAATAATCTATTGGTGCACATATATTTATCAATTTTCATAATCCAATCAGGCTAAAAAAAAATTTTATCAATGAAATGTCGTCATAAAATAGAGAAAAACAGAAATTTAGACACGCTATATGTGAAATGTATGCTAGTGTATTTATTTAAAAAAAATTAATCATAAGTAAATTGTATGTACGTATATCATCCAAAGTGATATGACTATCGTTTATCTAAAAGTAAACACAATGTACGATTATATAATAATATTTAAATGACATCTATATTTTTTTTTCAATATGAATAAAATAATGGTGGTGATTAAAAAGATAAAACGCTTGATTAATAAACATGCATCAAAAAACTATTATTGTTCATTGCTACGTGCTTGTTTCATGAACAGTTAAATGCCATGTTCACGTTCGAAATCGATTGCAAACTTGAGAAACTCTTCATCTGTAATTTCTAAACGTGATGCAACCATAGCAGCTGCACTGATAAATTTTGGGTGCTACAGTACTTGCACCAGAAGGCATCGAAGCTTTTTGTGCAAGTACTGGAGTTTCAATTTTTATTTTTTTTGTTTGAGCATCGATATCTTCAGAAAAAGATCTTTTTTCTGAAGAATTTGAAGAATTTGATATCTGAAAAAGATGGTTTTTTTTTAATACTACAAGAAAATAAAGTATCTCACTTCGGCTGGATCATTCGATTTCATTTGTTTAACAGCAATATTGCTATTTATTGTATTTTCTATAATGAGAAAATGTTCTTCATAAAATAATGATGTTTTTTTTTGTTTCTCTTACTTGATGAGTTTGACATGTTAACGAGTTGATAATTGTTAAGTGTAATAATAAGTTTTTTCGATCTGAAAAATATAAACACAAAGCAAGTATATAATTCAGATACTAATCTTTCCATGCTCTAATTTATTTATTTATAATACGTATAGACTATAAAATATTCGATAAAAAATGATTTAGATAAATGAAGCAAATTAATAATACTAACAAATAGAATTCGATTAAAATTGTGAACTATTACTCTACAGATATGAACATGTCTATTCGAATTGTTTATAACTAATTCGTTTGATAAATGCCTCCTGAAGAAGATAGGAGTCGATAGTTGGAAGTGGCCATTGATGTGTTCCATAAGTGGTTGTCATAATTTGAACCTCACCATCATCATCTATTATTTCTTTCGTTTCTACTCTATTCTCTTCAAGATCATCGTTATTCATTATATCATCATAGAGAGTATCGTCGAAATCGTGAGATTCGAGAAAAATAAATCCTCTGTGACAATATCGAATAATTCTTTCACAGATACTTTTCATCATAGTTGCATGCATTGTATAACATATAAATGATTTTGTAGCAATAGCTTGTAAAAAAGCAAACGTACAAAACAGACGTGTACCTATTAAAAATATACATAATCATATTTATTGGTTTTAGTTTTTCTCACCTGTAAATGCAATTTGACTGACATCAATATCGCTGGAATGAAGTACATAGCTGATAGGATTAGTATTATTAGGAATATTTTTAAAATTAAATTGTAATTGAATATTAAAAGGTAATTCAATAATGTAACCACCATTGCTTTTTTTTACTAATTTTGTACTTGGAGAGTAATTTTTCTCTAACATAATCTTCATCAAATCAACATAAATATTATGAACTGCATCATTGAATTCATGAAATGAGTTACCGTTGAAATTTATATCTACCATTTCAATGGCAGTATCTGAAAACGGATGTTTGCAGAGACAATTAACAAGACAACCTCCGGAAATATGAAATTTGTTAAAATCGATAGCTTTTATCCATGTAAATAACTTAAAACGATCTTCAAAATTCATTATAAATTCTGAAATATGTTCCACAAATATTAAGTTCTTGTTTAGCACATCATGTGCTAATGGTCGAAACAATTGACATTCTAGATTAAAAGTATTATATAAAATCGAAGTCTCATAACAACAACTTTTGTCTCTTGTCATCTTTAATTCCATACTTTTCCTCTCTTTAAAACAACATATTTTTCTTATTTAATCTCGTTGCATCGGTCATATATAAATATTATCGAATACAAGTCATTTTTTTCTTTTCTTCTCTTTCCTCCTTCTGTGATGTACTCTTCATAAAATCAGGCAATTAATCATCTACAATGTCATATCGTACGCTGCGTTATATGATCATTTTTTCTCTTTGCTTGACAAATCTTAAAAATCATACCTTTGAAAAGACTTTGTTCATAAACATTTAATTCACGTGAAGGACCAGTTGAATAATTGTAATTAAAATAGTCAAGAACAATTAAATTACCAGCATATGACTGTGAATTAAATGGTAACAAACGGCTGTAACATTGAAATGATGGATGTTTGTACGTACAACATAATTTTTCTAAAGCTTCCACCGTAAATGTAGAATGAATGAATGAACGCATTACAGGAGCATGTTCGTGATGATAGTGATTGGGATATAAATATCCCATGGTGGTGAAAGAACACTCTTCCAAGTAAAAATCAAGATAAGGCATAGTAACTGTTACATTTTCTTTTTTAACTAATTCCATAAAAATTCGATAGAATTTGTGTTTAGATACTACAATGTTTCGAAATTGTACAGAACCATTTACTGCCTCCATATAATTAATAACATCTAAACCTTGAAGATAGTCAATGAGTAACAATCCGATATGTTGATTGAGTGGAAGTATTTCTTCATTTCGTAGAGTTTGATCGTTGAATGTTAATGCATGAGCCATATTAGAATAATTATTATTAAAATCTTAAATGAACAAAAAACACGCTATTTCTCAATATTAGACATTAAAGAATATGAACAAAATAAATTGTGCTACTAATCTATGTGTATATATGTATATTGTTTCACGAAAAAATTCAATTATATATACAAAAGAAATTTTAATTGATTGCAAGAAGCACAAAAAATACAAGACAATCTAACAAATAATAACATGAAAGAATGTGATGATTATTGATTGCCTATAGTATTCATTCTTATCTCTTCCCTTTTTGACATGTTTTCTTTAAATTGTTTAATTATACTCATTGCCAATATACGATGTGTTATGCGTTCTGTTCATCATTTGATTGGCTTTCTCAATTTCATTTTTTCTTATTTTTTCAAATAGCTATCTAATTATTTATTGGTTGATATTCGGCGTTCTTTTTCAATTTTTTCTCGCTTCCTGTTTACGTATTAATTACTTTTTCTCTTTCTAAGAAAGCTACATAGCAATATGTCACAGACTTCTCTATCAGTTCATCAATCAAAAATAAATCACTTTCAATACATATGAATGATATTTAATAATAATGAATAAAGAAAGCTACTTGATAATATATATGCATGCAATTAATAAGATTAAAATAGAAAAAAAATGTCAACGTGATAGTCTTGTAAGCTGGTATGCAAGTTTCGATGATATTGCAATCGATGTTATGATGTCAATTTTTGATGAAATAAAGTTTGATGATGCTACTTCAGTCATAAATGATTCTTGATGATGGATATCGACTTTTAATACATTAATAATATCAGCAATATCTGACCAAAACAATCGTAGTCCACGTGAGCAAGCAGCCATGATTTGAGCAGATGTAGTCGCTTTCATATAAAAATTCGTTGTGTGTACTTTAAAAAAGAATTTACTGCTTCACGACAATCAATTCCACGTTCTATTATAGATAATATTTATTTACTATTTAGTGCAAAGGAAATCGTGAAATCTTACTATGAAGTTGACAAAGATGATCCGTAGCTTGTCGTGCTATTTCCATTGTTTTCAAACATGAAGTCACATTGTCAATAAGTTGTTTCTTGTCCTTTTCATACCGAATTAAATAATTATTGCTGGAAGTTACATCAGCACTAGATTTTAAGAAGTTTCGTGGCTGAAGAGTAGGGATTGGAGGAACAGTTTTATGAATTACTAATCGTGAACCGAGAATTCGTTTTGCTCGTTCTTCCAATGTTTCATTTGCTTGTTGTATTGGACTACTTGGTTGAGGTGTCGTACATGGAGAATCGCAATTAGAAAGGAAACTGAGAGTGGTGGTTGGTGATAAAAATGCTGGAGATGTTGATGATGATAGTAACCTTTTTCGATTGTTGTGTATGCTAATCCGATGTTCATATTGATTGTCAGAAGAAATAGCTTGAATAGGTTTTAATGCAATATTACGAATTCGTTTGGCGATTCGATCAGCAATTTTCATATCAGCATTCGACGCAAAGCTTACAAAGTAAACATTTTTCTTGGATGATAATCGCTTGTCAATAGATACGATGCCTAATTTCGATTTTATTTCTGCTGTTAAGTTATTTGTATATAAAACACGTTGATACTGCATGACCTACTAGAAAAAATATCATATCCTTTTATTTCCTATATTTCTATCATTTATAACATATCTCATTCACTATCTGTTGATAAATCTCAATAGATTTAGATGACTATACATTGTACGAAATAAATAAAGAGGGTAATTTCTGACATTCTCAATTATCTACGTTATATATTATCATGCCCGTTATCTCTGTATATTACTCTTTGTCACATGGACAAATCGTATTGCAACTAATTAGAGATGCTCGTAGTCGCCAAACTGCGAATCGTATTGCTAGTCAAAGACTAGACTTAGCATATACTTACCAATAAACAGATGAAATTGATTAAAGAACGAAGTTTTCTAAAGTAACTTGATATAGTTCTAGAGTAATAGAAGATATTTTTATTTCAAGAAAAGTAACTCTCCTATTTTTTATTTGTATGTGATATCTCTTACTGCGTTGAAGATGTAACTGGAATTGGCAAGTTAAAATGAATGAGTGAACATTGAAGATACTGTTGTATTTATAATATGACCTGCTCTATTTTTTTCTTAGTTTCTTTCAAAACGACTGTTCTGATAGATCTCTCTTCTTTTGTTTATCTTTTCTTTAAAAGTAATACGAATATCTTCTTCTGAAAATTAGAGAATCGATGAATATCTAACTAATGTAATCACTCTCCAATCAGTTGCACGTTTCGTGTAATAAATGATTGTTTATAAAAGTCAGAGATTTATGTCAGAATTTTTTTCATAATAAGTTTTAGTTCAGCGCTCATTCTTACTATATATTTATTATAAATCAATCACAATCACGTACTTCGTCTAATATACAAATCTTATTTATTTTGTATTCCATGATTTGTTATAATTTGATAAAACTTACAACTACAGTATAGCTGCATATAAGACTGAGCATAAAAAATATTTGATATTAACTCGGATATTATTAATGCTGATTTCATTCACATTCGTTTTATTAGAACCGAGAAGAATATTACTCTTCGGAGAAATTATGGTATATATATGTCATAGTGAATCTAAACAGTTTACTATAATCATTTATTTATTTAAAAGAAGTCTAAGATCTTGGCTGTTACGAATATTTGTATTTTTGATATGCACCAAATTGCATAACTGTCAATTCGTTAAACTTAACAATAACTTTGTTAGTATTATTGAGTTATATGTTTTTTTTATTTTCTCCTTCTCTTTCTCTCTCGCTCTCTCTCTTCTCGTATAGATGACATATATAATGTATCGATCCATTAGATTGATTTTCTCGCTTACAAATTTAAATCCAGTGAGAATTCGTAATAATGTATAAATCATTTCCTTTATAAATAGATGAACTACAAATATGTATTTTTCTTGATATATACGCTGTCATCAACAGTAATAACAGTAGCAATAATAATAATAAAACACATGCTGATTCGATAGACTTCAGATCTATAAACAATATTTTTACGTTACATTCATTTTGACTTTGTGTATATTTTTGAAAGTAAAGACAAATTGATTTATTTAAATCATAATCTATCTTGTTCTAAATATAAATCTATACGTTAAATCTTTATCAGTAAAAAAGACAACACAAATAAAATGAAAGAATTGTTTTATTCAAAGTTATTTGATATTTTCTTCTAACTCCATTTCTTCGTATTATCATCATCATTTCTTTTAATTTGAACAACATGAAGAAATTCTAAACAAAACACATAAAACACAAAACTATATAATCACAGAGTTCCTATCGATGTTTCATTTAACACATCACTTAGTACGAATATCTATTTTTTTTCTTTTGACTGTATAAATTTCTTATGATACATGTATAATTTTAAGATTATTTCAAGACAAATAATAAACATCAGATACATACGCAAATGTTATATAAAAGAAGAAAAATATATCATATTGTGAAGTGAAATATAATAACTATATACATGTATATCATAAAATAATCATCGCTATTATTTTTCGTTCTAAATTTCCCATTCACTCATTTTGCATTAATTAAAATACATTACAGTAGTGTTCATTCAATGCTTTCTAAATGAAAGGTTAGATTCAACAAACTCAAAATTTAAAAGTTTTTTCTGTACAATCAACAATAAATTTTTATTTAAATATTTTTTCTGATAATTTGAGCTGCGATCCGTGTTGAAGCATTCGTAGAAGTTCATGCCATAAATAACGAAGAAAAAAACAAGTTGACAGCTACTATATAGAATTCAATCAATTTTATTGAAAAAAATCTGTTAACTCAATTTATACATATGTACGCTATATTATTTGAGAACAGAAATTGTATCAAGACGACCAAAGACAAACTGATTATTTGGAACTAATCGATTCTAGAGCTCTTACATTACAGGGTTTAACTGTTGATTAAAATGATAAGACAAAATCGAGACAATTAATACCTTTGAGAAGTGATTCACTACATAATGCATATGCTGATGTAGATAGAGTGAACATCTATCATCGCTCTCGTCATGTGAACAGTGATGATCGCTAAATGTGAATTAGTTCATTATTATTATTATTGATGTTCTACACAAATTTTTGTAGGGTGTTAGTCTCGTTTTATTTTGGTTAACTAGTGTTGTATTGAATTATAAAATCAATGTAGTTCTTTTTATTTCTTTTAATAGAGCTGAGTTATTTAAAAGTAAATCTTGTTTCTAGATTATTCAAAAAATTTAAATCAATATTACAATAAACATTGACATATTATCTACTAAGAAAACAAACTGATATTTATTAATTATATTATAAATAGTAGAACGTTATTTACTAACTGAATATGTGAATAAAAATATCATTTTATAAATGTATGATATTAGTAGACATTTTCTAAATTGCATAGAAGAATTTTAATATATTATCGTAGATTCTAATTTACTGACTTTGTATATTAAATGTATCAAAGATTTTTATGATATATTCATTTATTAATATCTTGAAACGTTATTAAAAATAAATTGTACTACAAATTTAGATGAATTACAAGAAGTAAAAGAAAGATGATCTTCCCAATGTAGATATACTATCATTATCTAATTATTATAAAGATCAATGAAATCATTAAAGAACTTGTACATGATTTGCCGTCACAATATGTCTCGTAACACTAGCATTCGATAAACTTTTTTAATAGGAAATGTCTATTAGTCAAATAATAATTACATACTAACAGCATTCTTTATTTAATGTATTGACTAATCTATCGTATATAATCTTGAGG